TGATATGTTTCTATCTATTCAAAGCTCGAGAGTTGTGATAAGCATGATATGTTGATTCTTGATAAGCATGATACGTTGTTTCCTTGATAAGTATGATGTTGTGCGTGACCCTTCAGATAAGGGCTGCTTACTGAGTACTGTGGTTGTACTCATCCCTCTTTTTCCCCTCCAGTTTGCAGGTATCGAGCTAGCTCTTGGGATGGTGATGGTGAGGAGGAGGCTTGATCAAAAAGACCATTAGTTATGCTGCGTGCAATTAATTTCTTTTAGTTAGGATAGTTGGGGCTATTTAGTCTTGTAGTTGAGTTGTTAGTGGTTGGTTTTGTTTAGTTTTATTGTCTAAAGGATGTTGTAAGGTTGCCGATTCATTATTCTTTTTAGAGCATTAATTTTGTTAGCTTCTTGAACTATGGGATTGTAACCTACTTAGGATATTTATGAATACATTTGTTTAAGTTGATCGTACTTGAATTAGTTTTTGCTTCATTGCCATTCGAGATGTTAATATTCATTTAGTGGATGGTTTATAGTTAGTAGAGGTTTCCTTGAAGGGTTTGGTTAATGTGAATCAGTATTAAATGGTTTATCTGTATAAGATGTGAGTTTCTCTTAAATCTTTAGTGTTGTTGTTCTAATTGTTCAAGCTCTCGTGAGTGTTGAAAATCAGAGCGCAGGAGAAGCGTGGTAACTTTATTGCTTAGTATTGTTGTGAAGATAATTCTCTTGTTTATGTGAAAATTTTAGGTAGTCTTAGTAACGGTCCCTGTTTGGAAATGGTGAAATTCTTGGGGTGTTACATAATACTTATATAATTAAGGTTACTCCGACTTTTCAAGATCCCAATTAAACCTTAGAGGGATATTGATTTGCAAAAGTTGAAGTGTTTCCTTTCTTTATCAAAAATTCATGCAAACTTGAATAGAAATTATTCTTAAATACACAGTAAGGCAATTAAATAATATTTAACAATAACTAATTCAATAATAAAACATGCTCGTAATTAACCTTAAATATTTATAAAAATACTTTATAATTAAACTCAATGAGGACAACAAGATACCTAACACAACATTGATAGCCTTCCTTTGGGCCGGCAATATCAACTTGCAAGTGGTACTCTCCATGTGGTGATCAAACATTGATAATCAATCATGTCAAGTGAAAGCCTTCCTTTGGGCCGGCAATCACTCACATGGCATAACTTTATATTATCCATGTTTATCACCATCTAACTATATGTAGACCTGTTATTTGGCCAAACTGAAGTCTTCCTTTGGGCCGACTACAGAGTGCATAAATACACAGATCTACAAATATCTGATAATTTTGAAAGATATCAATATCAGAAATCAGAGGCTACTTTGGCAACATGATTCATCAAATTAACACCAACCGAAAGAATCAAACAATTATGCAACATATATAACTTTAATTATTATTAATTTTATCGTTATGAAAATAAAACTACCAAAATTATTTCAAAATTAATAATAATATATTTATATGCATAATTTAATAATTGGGAAAAGTCTTCTAAACAATTTATTAAATCTAGAAAAAAAAATAAAAATAAAAACTGGATTTTTCCAAAATGAATATTATTGATATTGTAACTCATCAACAATTCAACATAGGCTATGGAGCTCTAATTGCAGCACGATAATCTAATATCAATAATTAATTCCATAATTGTAAGTGTATTTGTTATTTGGTCAAATTGTGATCTTCCTTTGGGCCGATCACAATTCGCATAAACAACAATACTCAAATCTCACAAAATTATTACTTAATTATTCTTAATTGTTTCCATATGAAAATAAAATACCTAAGTTATTTTCAACAATTAACAATAATATTTCTAACTCAAAACATTCATATAAATTTAAAAATTGTGCAAAGTATTGATTAAATTGATAATTTTTTCACCATAATCAACAATCTTTAATTAGCACAACATAAAAGAAAAATTAAATCGACCTTCATATTTAAATTCGCCCAGAATATTCAAAACAAAATATAAATTGATAATTAAATAAATAATTATTAAAAATTAAATAAATAGCCACACAAAAAATATCTCTAAGTTTGCACACTGCAACATTTAAAAATACTTGGTGCTAGTGCATTATCTCCATGCACCAGCCGTTATCTTCAAACGACACCTTATTGGAGTGCCGCAATTTCTTTAATTTTTCTTTTAATGAAAACTAAAGATTCACCCTCACAACTAATTTGTTAATAAAAAAATTAAACTTTATCAAATTAGTCCGGGATAATTCAAACAATTTTCAATCAATTAAGAATTTTAATCGTGTGAAAATTGTTCAAAGATCTTATCAATTCAAATAATTTTAATAGCTGTTTGTTTAAATAAATAAGTTATTAAAGAACAATGAACTTAACTCATAAAGATCCAGAAATCATCCATGAAAAACTTGCTCTAATATCACTTGTTGGAAATTTTAATCAAATCCTAATTCATGATTATTCTAAAATAAAAGCCATAAAATTCCAGAACAATCAAGGTCAAGGATCTAAGCATGGAAGAAAACCAAAATCTATAAAGAGGTTAGAATTACCTGAAACCATTAGATAGATTGACCACAATCTGCAAGAAATTGTGGTTTGTGGTCTTCCTCAACTATACAATCCAGACCAAATATAGGCAATACTCTCTGTTGATGGGGCACAATAGGCTCAAGAAGCATAGTGTATTGGGACCATAACCATATATTTATAGGTTAATCCTAGGATTTCCCATAATCCCCTGAGATTAATGGGCTGGTTTCTACCCAACAAGTCACACCACTAAATGGGAAGTCATGGGCCCATCATTAAGATCACTTGTATGCCCATTAAATAGCCCAAATATAATTGTTGTTTCATTTGTTACCCACATATGAATTAATTATTAAATTAATTCTAACAGTGCTTGTTAATACTACATCTCTCTTAGTGTTGGTTACGGTTTGTTGGACGTGTTTATTATCGTTATCAAACCAACCAAACAAAAAAATCTCTAGACGAACAACATATTATATTAGCCTAGTGTGTTTGTTGAAGCGGCGGCACCGACTAAATAAGGTTGGAGGTGGCCAAGAGAGAAGATAAGAGACCAAATAGAAACTAAACCCAAATTTAAGAGACCAAAATATAATTTGCTCCATTAATAAAAACGGATAATTATAAAAAGAAAAAAAAAATGATTGATGCTTGAATCAATTTTATTTGTATTATTGCTTAAACAATGTATTCACATCAAACAAATCATGAAAAGAAAGTCCAGCATTGGACTAATTAATTGAATTGTTCTGTTTAATTTAAATGACTTTTGTATTATTTCATCATAAGCAACTCTCAGGCATGAGTATTCCGATAGTTGATCCACCAATATTCTTGCATGAGGATGTTGCTGCCTTGTTTTTATACGTAAGCTTGATATCTTCCAATCGTATGTCACTGCATGGAGTGGTAGGACTGCAGTCAAATGTCACAGCCTCTGGCGTTGCAGATGTCCCTTTAATATTTTTGTAACTCACTCCACTAATCTTCAGTCCAGAACTCTATCAAAGTACAATATAGAACAAACATAAAAACAAACCAATTTTTAGTTAATAATTCCATGAAGATCAGAGAACATAATCGCAATTCAATTACCAGGAGAGGACAGCCTTGGTTGTTGGGACAATAATTTTGATCAATTATGATGGGATTTTGGACATTGTTCATAATGATGTTCTGAAATAGAACATTTTTTACGAAACCTTTGCTAGGCCTAGGCCATGTCTTAATCCTCACACCATTATCGGATCCAATGAACACTGCATTTGTCAATGTTACATTCTCCACTCCATTTTCCTCCAACTCTTTTCCCAAGCTTCCAATGCTGCATTAGTTAAGACTCGATCATATCAGTTTATTCAGCATCCTACGTTGAAAAGATAAAGAATCTAACAAGGATTTATAATATAAGTGGATTACTCTTCTCTTTGACAATTGATTTTGAGATGGAAAAAAATTATGATATCTAGATTGGATTCTCTGATTTACCTTACACCATGGCCAGGCCCACATTTGATATTACTCATAAATAGATTCTTGGTTCCATCTCCAATAGAAATGCAATCATCCCCAGTTTGGAGGGTGCTTCCAGTGATCATTACGTTAGTGGATGACTGAACGTGAATGCCATCAGTGTTGGGGCTTTGGTCTGGAGCCATTACCTTCACATTCTTCACCTTTACATTGTTGCAACTATTTATTACAAGATGAGTTTGTTGGCTATTGATTGACGTTAATCCACTTATCACGATGTTGTTTGCCCAGTTAAACGTCATCGACTGCATTTCATTAACACAAAGAATATATGGTTATTAATGATCCCACATGGAAAAGATAAAGAGATCTAATCAGATTTACAAAATACATGCAATAGGTTATTATTCTCATGGCCAATTGATTTTGAGATAAAATTCTATAAATAAATTACAAAATATAAGTAATGGGCTATTAGTCTCATCGGATGGAATTCCATAAATAAAAAAAATAATAATAATAAAACATATGTATGTAGTTAAGTATTTACGTACCCTGGCTCCTGCGGGGCAATTGTTTCCAGATTTCTTGCAGGCCCAGTACCCAGCGCCCTTTGCGTCAATGTTACCGCCAACGACAGAAACTCCATCAACTTTGATGAACAAAATCCAATACCCAGAATTTCCGAGGGCGCGGTAATCGAGAGGTGCGACAAGCGTTCCATTCAAGCGAAATGTGATGTGGCTGTTGCATGGGCCTCTGAATGTGGTGGACGTCAGCAAAAACCTTCCCTTGGGGACGATGATGGTGGATGCTGTGGGGGAGGTACAAGCTGATTTCCACGCCTTGAGAAATGGCTGCGTTGAGTCGGTTTTTCCATCGGGTTTGGCGCCAAAACTAAGCACATTATAGCTGCCTGCACTTGATCTTTGAGTGAACAAATGGAAGAAGAAGAAGAAGAAGAAGCTCATTTGGTTAGCCATATTTGGAGAAGTTAAGGTTGGATGTAAGAGACATGGGAGTTTGGGAATTGGGATGGGTTATTTATAGAGTGGAATTGTATGGAAAGTAGTAATGAAATGGAGTATTAATGAAGTTTGTGGACTAAACAAATATTAATTAAAATAAATTGGAGTTTTATCCATGTGCATGAATATGGTAATTAAGGCAGGCGGCTGTTTGATTAAAATGAGGGAAACCAAAGCTCTGTATGTACAGCCGCAAACTCCAAATGCAATCCATTACCCATCGCACAATAACTTCTTTTGCACGAAAGTCTGTATACATGCAATCTTGTTTGAATAAACCCCAAATTTCTTGCTATTCGATTTTTACCTCTAATATATTAACAACTCTCAAATCTTTCCATAAAAAAGAAATTGTTACAATTGATACTATTTTTTAACTATTACTCTACTAACATATTTGAAGACATCTATAGATGTGTAATTCCAAGTTACTTACAGTAAAATATGTTAATAGAATAATAATTTAATAATATATAAATTTTATATTTAACAAATTTGTCATCGGGAGAAGTTAATTAAGAATTATAAAAAATAAAATGAAGGGTCAAATTGAGGATTATTCATGATAAGGTTGAGAGGAGTGAGAATTTTAATGGGTTGGTCGTACCTTGAATATGAAGCTGCCATATCCATTTTCATTATAATTATATATTATAATTTTAATTGTTCAAATTTTCATGCAATCATGATCGTCCGATTTTTTTATTAGGTAAATCAGCATCGTCCAACGGAAGAAAACCGGTGGACAATTTGATTTTTATTCCTATCTCACCAAGATTTGGCAATTCCCGAAACAAAAGCTATGTACACCCTTTTTGTTACCTTGATTTGGAGATTATATTTCTCCCTCGAACTGATGGAGGCAGGATTGTTCCGAATGAGTTAGTTTCGTTTACGGATGGTGCGGATCAGCAGATTAATTTTCACCTCATAAACAAAAGCTATGTACAGTCTTTGTTACCCCACGCGTCTAATTTTCCGTAGGAGAAATAAATCTTTTCTAGATTTAGGCACTACTTTCGATCTTTCTTTTATTGGGCACATTTTGAGTTTTTTTTTCTTTTATTTATTTTTTTTAGTACAACGGATCGATCTCAATTACTGTTGAGCTATCTCTGTTGATATCTCCTTTGTTTTTTTTTTATTTAGAGTTTTTAATTTAAGGTTTTTTTAGTTATGTTCTGAATTAGTGATTCTCAATTATTATATGTGATTTTTTTTAACGTTTTAGATTTCTTTTTTATTTTGAACATATTAGATAACATGTAATTCTAATTTTTTTTTCTGTTTATCCAGGAGTCGACGATCCTTTGGCCATTACGCTTCTATACCTGAGGTATGCGTACTGTCCCAAATCCGTACATACGTGAGGGGTCACTGCTAGGTGGTATTGTGTTCTATGTGATTTCAACTCAAGACCTCAAGTATATATATTCCTTGAGGCTCCAAGTTACACAATCTATCCCTTGAGCCATTCATGCTAGTTTATTTTTATTGCATCCGTTTGGTACACTAATTTTCTTTATTTTAATTTTAATATTTGTATATATTTATCTTAATTATAATATAACTCAGTATCACTATTCTTAATGGAAATTTGTAATGAATACCTGCGGGTTCATTTGATAACCCTTTCGTTTTCTGGTTTTGGTTTTTCAGGACTGTTTTCAATTAAATTTTCTATTTAATTTATATTTCAAAAACAATTTTGTAATTCTATGTAAATTAAAAAAAGTAGCTTTTAAAAATATATTTGTATTATTCAAAATCTCATTTTTTTTAGGTTAACGTACTAGTTTGGTCCCTGTACGTTTAGCTTTGATTCATTTTAGTCCTTATACTTTTAAAATGTTCGTTTTGGTCCCTGTACTTTCTACCTTGGTTCATTTTACTCCTTATACTTTAAAAATGTTCATTTTGGTCCCTTTATTTTTAAAAAGTGACCATTTTGATCCTTTTATTTTATTTTAAATCTCATTTTTCTATCACAATTTCAACACCACATTATGATCAATATATTTCTTACAATGTAAACATTACTTTATAGTAAATATTTTCCATTATGTGTAAAATTTGTGTCAAAATCTTGCAAAGAATGACTAAAATGAATAATTTTTAAAAGTAATGGACCAAAATAAACATTTTCAAAGTACAAGGACTAAAATGAACCAACTTAAAAGTATAGGGACCAAAGTGAACATTTTCAAAATACAGGGACTAGAATGAACCAAGGCTAAAAGTACAGGTACCAAAATAGTATTTTAACCTTTCTTTTAATACTCAATTTTTTTTCTTTTGACATATTTATCTCTAACAAATTTTTTTATGGCTCTAAAATTTTTTTCTTTTCAAATATCTCTCTAAAATGTTTATTTTTCTCTCTCTAAAATTTCAATATTTTAAATATTTATTATTATTTCTCTTTCTATCCAAAATTTTCATCGTTATGTACTTTATTTTTCCTTTTTGGTCTAATAGATAGATCACTCTTATTTCTTTCTCTAAAAATTTAATTTCTCTAACTTTTATCTTTCTAAAATTTCATCTTTTATAACTTTTTTTTTATGTTTCTAATTTATTTTTCCTCTTAAAATTATATCCTTTTTTTTCTTGTTAAATTTTAATTTGCTGTAACTTTTACTTCTCTTTGTGTTTATTTATTTTTCTGTAAAAATATATTTCAAATCTATATTTTACCTCTAATTTTTTTACACACTATAATTTGATAATTTTTTACTCTAATTTTTATTTCTCTTTCTAATTTTTTTTGTCTTTCCCATATCTTTTCCTCTCTACTTTACCTTTTTCTCTAAATTTTTTCTTTTTTTCTCTTTAACTTTACTTTTACTAATTTTTTATAAATACTTTATTTTAGCTCTATAAAATTTCTGTTTTAAAAGTTTATTTCCATTTCTCTAAATTTGTATTTTCATGTCTCTACCTTAAAGATGACAAAAAATCTCATAGGGTCGGGTCCTAACTCCAAGAATAGAAAATGCATGCCCTGAGCCCGTCATCAATTCCATTTTTTAAATAATTAATATATATTTTATGGACATATTTACTAAATTGTGAATAAAATACTAAATATTTTTAAAAACTAATTATCAATGCTAGTAAATAATAATTCTAAAAATAATTTATATATATTTATTACATTTTTTATTTTTAAATTCTAAAAATAATTAAAATTAATTATTAATCTCCAAAAAGAGAAAGTTCGAAACAATTGGGATTTTTTTGGAGATTGGATGCAGTTACTAATTCGTGATCTGGCTGGTAATTTTTCTCGCAAATATCTATGCCCCAAATATGAATTCTTTAACCTAGATTTCGATTCCTATACCGAAGAACGAGGTGAAGATGGGGGACGTAAAATCTTCACTACTGGTACAAGAATGGGTGAGGACATCCTCACTCCCACCAAACACACCATTGTCATCTCTACTTTACATATAATTTTCTCTCTCTAATATATATTTTAAATTTTCTAATTTTTTAAAAACAAAAAACTAAAAATGGTTAGCAAACATGTTTGCTTTTCTATTTTTTTAAAAACTAAAAACAGTTATCAAACATATATGGTTTTGTTTTTAAAAAACATCGAACTAAAAACAAAAAACAAAAATCGAAAAACCCAAAAGAGAAATCATTATCAAACAAACCGTAAAATATTTGTCCTATTTGCCAACATAGCAAAAAAATTTTAGTTTTGCAAAATTGGTAAAAAAAAAATAAATCTATTTTTTTCGAATTTTTTGTTATTTCAAGTTTACCCTTTTAGATTTTCAAGTATATCAATTATATATAAAATCAGCTATATCATTGGTATATCAATTTTCATATCAGGTATATAATTATAATTTATTTACCTTGATGTACTATATACATGGTACATCTCAGTTAACTACTATACTATGATGTACTACATATTATGTACTTTTTTAAGGGATCAGATCCTGAAGTGGAAGCGTGCGAACGGTTGTGCTTCGATCTTGTTTTAGAAATACAACGAAGAAAAGACATAAGCATGATTAAACGAAAGTTAGTGATACATACCAGACACCTCTTCAATGTAGACACACCAACGCCACCAAAAAGTCTTCATCGCAATCCTCTGGATGTTAAGAACTATATTTGTGGGAACCATCTTATAATTGAAACGGAAATTAAGAAATCGACAGAGAGATTTTTTCGTTGGAGTTTCGGAAACTCATCAACCGACGTTCGGGCGACCGAAAAGAAATTGGGAGAACCTCCCTTTTATAAGGAAGGAGGAGTGAGGGAGAAGTCACCACTTACCCACTCACTTCCCCACTTCCCACCATTAATGGTGGAAAGTGAGAAAACCTCCCCACTTTCCAAAATTGGTAGAAAATGGGAGGTTTTCCATTTTTCTTCTCTTTTATTTTATTTTAATTTAATTAAAACAATTTTAATTAAATAATAATTAATTAAATCTAATTTAATTAATAACAAAAAAATTATTAATTTAATTTAACCAAATTAACATATACCATTAATTTAATTAAACCATATTTAATCAAATGAAACTTAAATTATTCAACCATATTATAATCAAATTCTAATATCCATATCTCTCATAATTTTGAATCCAATTCAAAATTAACTTTATATTATAATGTAGCAACATACATTATGTTAATTGCATCTCATACAATTAACTTTAATTCCCGTTAACAAATATGAACAATTCAAATTCTTTTCAAGACTAAATGTTCTTAACTATCCTTTACGAGCTAGCAAGGGACCTAATGGACCTACAGAACGAAAGCTCCAACGATGTGAGATTAATTGATTAAACTCATTAACCATATTAATCAACATTCGTTAATTGTTGGTCACTTCACTAAAAATCCACAGTTGCACTCTTCTTACTGTAGAATATTCTGTGTCCATGGATTTTGACCCTTAACGGTAAGTCAATGCTTCACGATTCTTCGT